ATCCGTATTTCCCAATGGAGAGGAACTGATTCGGAGATTTTGGGACCGATTGCCGATGCAATTTGCAAGGTTAGCGTACACCAAGGTTATGAGCAGGCTTCGCGACATGAGTATTTCAGTCGCGCGATTGGGATTCGTGAGACTATGAGAAATCCACGGCTAATCGTTGGACATCTGCAACTCCGATTCTAGTCACATCCAAAACTTCCCTGAACGGTTGCAGCAGTTCAACGATTAAGCTGTGTTCATACTTTATGACTCGGCTTTTTGAGGTACTAAGCGTTCGGAGCGAAAAGGATGCTTGGGTATCTACCGTCGCCGGTCACTAGAGTTTTTAGGGAATCGGCGTTTTGGAAGAATCAGCGTTTGGGAGAATCGGTTTTCTGTCTGCCGAGAGATACATACCCATGCTTTCCTTTTCGCTCAAAACGTTGTTTCTTTCAAAACACCCGAGCGATACCCATACTTTCCTTCTCGCTCAAAACGCCAGGTTGTGAAGTATGAACGCAGCCTTACCGACGAGGCGCAGTCAAACGTGCTCCTCATAGACAATAATAATAATGAAAATCCGCGATTTGATGAATCACATGGCATAGTGAGTCACTGAGAGCCAATTTATTGAAACATATTCGTTGAAGATTGCTCCGCCTGATCCTTCACGAGCTGTTACGTGGCCGTCCAGAAAGATCTCCGAAACGTCACAACCTGCTCGGTCGTGCAGCCAAATTGACTACCCGGTAGGTTTTCAAGCCAGCATTGTAGGCGTCATTTAATCGTACAATTGAGTGCAGGCTGATGTCATCATCATGCTGGACTCCTCCGAGAATTTCTCACAAGAGGAATTCGACGAAGATGAAGGAGAGCGTCGCCGAATTGGTTGACGCAGGATTCGATCTCGCACCAGATGTTGCCAGAATCGGTTTCGTGGTGTACAGGCAAGATACTTTCCTTTAGACATCCCTACTGCATTTAATTACCTGAAGGCTAGATATTCTAACCCCTACTTTAATCCTACATTGTGCATGTCGATTTCGCCATACGTGCGCTTGTTCTGTGTTATTTTTTATACCAAACAAACTTGAGAGAGTCATATAAGGGGGGGGGATTATGGTCAGTGAACCATTTGCAGTACGATAAGAGTTTGAGCAGCCCAAAGCTCAATGAAAGTAAAGTCCTCATGTTGGAACTAGGACTTGCTTGAGTAATATAAAGCACTTGACTTACCCAAAGGCCCCACTTATACACTACAAGCTTCTTTGAAGTATGATGTACCACCACTCAAAAAAATTCACAATAGAATTACTTTCAAATAGCTAACCTAGAGGCGTGAGGTGGCAGGAAGATGGAGAGTAGCTCGAAAATATACGCAATTAATCGTGCCATCGTTTCGCAAGTGAGCGGATGGGCTAGCATCTCTCCAATAAAGGGCGATCATCATGGTAATCAGGAAACTGGTTGAACGGACGAGTTGTTCGTTGATGCGGACAAATTATCCAGTGCAGAAAATGGGTTGCAGAGGCCTGGTACGGGTGG